TGAGGTCAATTGTTCTGAGCGTAATGGTCTAATCACAGGCTATACAGTGATTATCAGTAACAGTAGTATCACATACAACCTCACCAGTACTGAGAGATATATCATATTGAATGATCTAGTATTTGGTACTGAGTATAACATCAGTGTAGCTGCTGTCAATTCTGTTGGAAGAGGTCCCTTCAGTGATCCTATTGTAGTAGAGATTGGAATAGGTATGTAATTATTATAGTATATCAGTTGTGTGAGAATGTGTGTTTATTTAGTACCTGGTCCAGTTGGTTCAGTATCCAGTATCATGGACACTACATGGGGTGTTATCTCATGGAGTGTACCTAGTTATATTCCATCAGACTATCCCATTATCACATATGAGATAGGATATCATATCTTACAGTCTGGTAACTGCTCAATGGTAGATGATGATGACATTGATATTAAAATGCTACAGTTCTCTAATTCAACCAATGGCAATACATTTATTAACATTACTGGTCTTAATGATAGTACTTGTTATATTTTTGGTGTACGTGCATACACTGATAATGGATATGGAGAATGGACAGTTATTGCTAATGAGACACTAGAGCTACCCCCACTACCATCACCTTCCCTAACATCAACTACTCAATACTTCACTACATCAAGTGTCATTTCCTCCTCTGTATCTATTACTAGGGACACCTCTACTACCTCAAGTAATGGACTATAATGACACAGCATTAATTTATTGTCGTATATTTATTTCTCTTATTTAGGTTTAGTGCAACCATCGACAACGGCATCAACTTCTCCACCTGCTGTAGCAGGTATCAATTGTTTTGATTGAATCTTTCATTTCATAAACTTCTTCCATTTTCCTTCTCTTTCCTTTCACTTATTGATGATTGCCTTTGTTTTTATTTTGCCTTTTTTTCTTTATTTTCAGGTGATACAGGCTTGTCTCCAGTAGTATTAGGAGGTGCTGGAGGTGGTGCTCTAGTTGGAATATTAATAGTAATAATATTCATACTGATTGTTGTACTTGTACTAAGGTAATGATAACTTTCAACTTTCCTTTTATTTTATTATTGATATTTTTCTTTCACTCTCTCTTATTATGAAACAGACGAAAGAAAAGAAGTAAAGATACGTTATACATCAGTGGTGGTGCTAGTGTCAAGAAAGATGTAATCAATGACATACCTTTATTGGAACAAAAAACACCAATCAGCAGTGAACCTGGTAATACGATAACATTCATACATTACATTAGTACACATAAATGTATCATATTGCACTCATAATTTGCTATCAAGGCCTATTGGTCACATGAAATTCTCCTTTTACCATAATTGGTTGTACTACAAATGATCAGCATTTCTTGCATACTGTCAGTGGTACTATGTAATGTGTCATTACTACTCAATGTAGTGTTAAGCCAAGTGGTATGATCCCACTTGTTTGTGTGTGTGTGTGTGTGTGTGTTTGTGTGTGTGTGTGCGTGCGTTTGTGTGTGTGTGTGTGTGTATGTAGTCTTGTGATTGACCTCTGCTTATTGTACATGTTAGTGTGGCCAGTGTGTTCTGTGTCAGTATATTGCTGCTTTCCGTACGAAAGTACATTAATGTTAGTTTTAGTATTTTGAATGTTGATTTAAGTTTGTGATCCAAAAATAACTTTTTAC